TCAAACGCACTGGGCAAGAGAAGGAAACTGCTCAGCTCCCCCAACCCTATGCCACACATCTGGGTTACAAGGTAGAGACCACCAAGAACAAAAGTAACCACAACCCGAAAGCCGAGCAGGAGGCAGCTCCCTCCCCAGGGAGGCATGGAGCATTGCCCACAGGGTCTGTACTACCCGCTGCACTCCCTCACCAAGACAGGGCTTCCAAGCCAGGCCCGTGGGCAAAGGCAGGGCCTTTCCACTGAGCAAAGGGCAGCCGCCGCAGGACACCCGAAGGCTTCCGAGCCCAGCCTGCGGCCTTTCCTTTCCCTAAGACCAAAGGGCTGCACTTGGAGTCCCACGGGTGGTCACCAGGCAGAACTTTGCCACTGTCTCTGACAGAGGGAAGAGAAGCCATCTAATGAGGCTGAGAACATAGAATCACGTGGCTTTGACCAACAACTTGCTGTCTCCTAACGTGAACCACAATTTTATAGCTCTTTTTTAGAAAAACTGATATAGTACTTGTTCCACTAAGAACCAGTTCTCTGAGTAGCAAAGCTTTATTATGTCTTACTTTGGATGAAGGCAATTAATAGGGCTCTATCCTCTAAGGAGAAGCAGGATCCCTTTTAGCTAACAATACTGTAAGGATGTCACTCACTGGTGACTGCCCTATCTCAAGCCTTAAGGGTTGCATCATCAAGAAATAGGAAAGAGGAGTCTGGTCTCAAAATGGAGGTAAAACTGCTGCCCAGTCGCCCCCAGCCCAACTCTGGCCATCACCATTGCCACCAGGGAGGAGGGTCGTGATCCAAAGGAACCAGAGCAGCTGAAGAAGCTGCTATTGGTGGTCTGAGTTTTGAAGCTACCAATGATAGTTAAGAGAACACTCTGAGAAATGGGCCCACTCCCAGATCGTGTGGTAGTGAGAGGTCCTCAAACAACATGCTCCAGAGGCTTTGGCCTTGTGACTTACTCCTGTGTTGCAGAGGTGGATGCAGCAGTGTGCGCTCGACCCCACAAAGCTGATGGGCGTGTAGTGGGACCAAAGAGGGCTGTTCCTAGAGAGGAGTCACTAAAGCCTGGTTCTCATCCAACAGTGAAGAAAAATTTCTGTTGGTGGTATTAAGATACTGAAGAATGCAATTTGAGAAACTACTTTGGAAAAGTATGGCGAGATTGAAACCATAGAACTTATGGAAGACAGGCAGAGTGGGGAAAAGAGGATTTGCTTTTATAACTTTTGATGATCACAACACAGTTGATAAAGTTGTTGTTCATAAATACCACACTACAAATGGGCATAACTGTGAAGTGAAAAAGGCCCTTTCTAAACAAGAGATGCAGTCTGCTGGATCACAAAGAGGCTGTGGAGGTGGATCTGGCAACTTTGTGGGTTGTGGAGGAAACTCTGGAGATGGTGGAGGGAATTTTGGTCATGGTGGAAACTTTGGTGGAAGAGGAGGCTACGGTGGTGGAGGAGGTGGCAGCAGAGGTAGCTATGGAGGAGGGGATGGTGGATATAATGCATCTGGAGGTGATGGTGGAAATTATGGTGGTGGTCCTGGTTACAGTAGTAGAGGAGGTAGGGTGGCGGTGGACCAGGATATGGAAACCAAGGTGGTGGATAAGGTCGGGGGGAGGATATGATGGTTACAACAAAGGAGGAAATTTTGGCGGTGGTAACTGTGGTGGTGATGGAAACTATAACGATTTTGGAAATTATAGTGGACAACAGCAGTCAAATTATGGACACACGAAGGGGGGGAAGTTTTGGTGGAAGAAGCTCTGGCAGTCCCTATGGTGGTGGTTATGGATCTCATGGTGGAGGTGGTGGATATGGTAACAGAACGTTTTAAAAAACAACAGAAAAGGGCTACAGTTCTTAGCAGGGGAGAGAGTGAGGAGTTGTCAGGAAAGCTGCAGGGTACTTTGAGACAGTTCCCAAATGCATTAGAGGAACTGTGAAAATCTGCCACAGAAGGAACGATGATCCACAGTCAGAAAAGTTACTGCAGCCTAAACAGGAAACCCTTCTGGTTCAGGACTATCATAGCCACAGTTTGCAAAGAGTGCAGCTATCGATCAATGCAATGTAGTGTCAATTAGATGTACATTCCTGAGGTCTTTTATCTGTTGCAGCTTTGTCTTTTCCTTTCTTTCCATTACATGTAAGTTGTGGTAGTGGTGCCAGGAACAAAAAATTAAGGACTTTTAACTTAAAAAAAAATAGGAAAGAGTAAGAAGAAGAGATGCACAGCACACACGTGGTAGTTCCTTGGTGCGCTAAGATGCAGCCTTCATAGCTTTGGGCACCTTCCCTCGGCAGGGTCTGGCATCCCAGACACCCCCAACCCTACAACCATTCTGACTTGAAAACCGTCTGCCTCTTCTTCCCTTGCTCATCAACTGACTTCACTAATAAACCAAGTGAAAGGGGGCTATTAAAGAGACAAAAAAGCTGTACAATCATTTAAGAGCTGACCTCATTTCTCTACCTAAAATTTAAGAAAATTCAGAAGTGATCATAATACATTTAATGCAATAATGCAAAATGGATTTTTCAAATGTTCTTTGAAAGCATAAATCTTTTTGTAGGAAAAAAGAAATCTGATGGACAAGTTCTATGACTTAGCATGCTCCCAGCCTTGTCTCCTAGTGTGACCATGCACTGTATTTATACCAATCACTTTGCCGTACAGGGCACCAAATGTCCCTCCATGGTCTGCCCAAGACACAGCGATTCTTCCAGAGTGTTCGCAAGCGACCTCACCGGCCAACACTCCCCCAACTTTCCGCAACCTGCCTCGGCACTGCCTTCCACGTAGATCTCACCCTGCCTTCCACTGCCCTGCAGCGGCCCCTCCACCACACTCGCCACACCTTCAGCCAGAGCCCATTGTGTGCTCAGGCTCCTCATACCAGACTCTGTCTCCTGTCCTTCCGGGCCACACCCATGCCGCTAAATGTCTTGCATTTTTATACATCTTCTGTCCCCGTGTGACATTTTTCATAAGCATTTTAAATCTACACATTCATGCTCTTACCCAGCCTGGACCTCTTACGCCCTATGTAACCCTGTGGTAATTTACTCAAATTCTCTGACCCTCAGCTTTTTCATGGATGGGACGAGAACCTTAATTATATTCTCTCTCACAGTCTTGTAAGGAGACCATACATATAAAATGCAAAGTTACAAATGTTAAATTCTGCTGCTGTTATTACCATCTTACTTTATAGAGATATCTATTAAAACATCTTAGGTAAGTGACATAAACTTATATTTAGAATACAGAGACAAATGTACTGTTGCATTCATCACAAAGAGGACTGTGTGGCTTTTTATGTTACACATACCATAAACAATCAATTACCTCTAATTTTAGTTTCACATCTTCTTTTGTCTTAGAAATATAATCTAAGTTAGAGATGGCCAGCTCTACTCCACTGCAGTACTGCCCATAAATAACCAGCCTGAAATGAAAGAGAAGAAGAACAGGTGAGGCCCCAAGCAAGCAGCAGCGGGCGTGGAGGGGGCAGGGGCAGACTTCCGAGCTCTCTCAGCGCGTAGACAACCAAAGCAGCAGAAGCTCCTTTTGAACACGCCACACCCAATCACAGAATGAGGGCCACTCACCTATTCAGTCCTAAAAAGACTCATTCTTAGTTCTAAATTTAATTAGGATTAATTCAACATTTATTTTTACAGGAGGTAGATTTAACAATCCGGCATGACAAGTATTAGTATTATTGGAGTTACATACACAATTATCTCAAAAAAAAATCTTTTTAACTCATTACAGACAAACTTTTTACTGTTTACTCAAATGTTTTATTTTCTACTACAATTTTGTTGGAATTGCTATGAGTCTACTGAGTAATAAACCTTCTGTTCCTTGTCCCTTTTTCATTAAGGGACACAAAGCATCTGAAGATGGGAGTGAGAGGCCCGGGTTGCACCAGAGGGGAGCGAGCTCACGCGGCCCAGACTCTGAACCCACAGCAGCAGCAGGACCACCGCACTGCAGACCTTCACAGCAACGTTGTTTGTTTCACTGTCTCTTTTACCTCCCCACTAGAGAAAACTGCTAAGAAACCACTACCATTTACCTAGCAGTTGAGCTAAGCAACCCCTTCGCCATCTTTCGTAGCAGGAGCTGCCCTCCTTGACTTAACCTGAGAGAGCGTTATATGTTAAACAAAACTCCTTGATACTTCAAATCCATGATCGCTCAGAAGACCTCTTGTGATTCAGTATGGGAAGCAGACTCTAACTCCGGCTTTAATGCCCCACAATGGAAAATCATAACATGAATTAGAGTCGGAGGAAGCACTTGGTACCAGTTAACCTACTCTCAATATTACAAATAAGGAACAGGGGACTTGGTTAAAAGGACAAGCCACGCTTGGTACTGCTGGCCGGTGAATCTCAGCTTCTGGTTTGCAGAACTCCAAGTGGTTCACTGAGTCCTTTTCTTTTTAGGTCCCATAGAAAGCTCGAACTACTACCCTAAGAGTCACTGGCCTGTACTCACATACCCAGGTAGCACGCCAATAAACAGTAATAAGAGCTATATCTTTTAATATTAATCTTCATAAAATTCCAAACTAATACACACAAAATTTTAAATGCAAAAGTTACCTTTCCTTGTAGTTAATAAAAACTTGATACAAGTTCTGGTCATTTTTATTTACAATGGAATCATGAATTTCTTGCATTAAGCTCCGATGAACTTTTACAAGTTCCTTAGAAAAGAAAACAATGTCAAAGAAAAGCAGGAATCAAAACTGAAGCATAAACCCCAGGCCCAGAACCTCAGCACTATGGACTTGTCACTCATAAATATATAAACTTGCCACCAAGCGGAGAGAGGACAAGGGGAAGGATCCAGGAGAAAGAAAGGCCGAGGAGGAGGAAAGAAAGGAAAAGAAACAGAGACAAGGAGAGGAATGGAAGTGGGGAAAGAGAGTAGGGCCAGGAAGAGAAAGGAAGCAACACTTGTGTGGGGAAAGGGCAATTGCAGATCTGACTAGACCCAGCAGAGTCCTGTGGGGAGACACACTAGCTCACTAGTTATTAAACGTTAATTGATTGTTTGTTTAAAAATATGTACAGCTTTCTCATTTGATAATCACTCTAAATTTTTAAATAAAACTAAGTGCTTAATGTTTTATTGACAGAATAAAGTAATGGCTCGTGTCCTTGGGACACAGAAATGTAGACTTGTAGTTGGTCAATTAGTGGTGTCCTGGTGTTGAGCTAACAACAGTCAGACTAAATTACTCGAAACCAGACAAGTAAGGGCATAAATAAGAAGCAAATAAACTGTCCTACAGAGTTTCCTAGAGCAGTGCAGAAGCCAGAATTTCCCATTTTTCCTCACAAGCAAGTCGTTTTCAGCAGCCAAGAAATACCTTCAGGGTCAGGAAGTGACGCAGCTTGAAGCCAGTTACTTCTTCCTACCATCCGGGGGACACCCAGCATGCTTTTCCCCAATAAGGCGCAAACGACATGCGCATATTTACTGGCCCCATCGTTTTGTTGAGGAGCATGAGACAGCCATGAAAATACAGACTATGAGTTGTAAGTTACAGTGAGCTACTTAATTAGTTTACGACCTCTGTTTCTGAGACTGGGCACTTCATTTGATGCTAAATTTTCATCTGGTATTGTGAGCACTTAATGCGCTTACATCATAGATCAGTGAGAACGCCTTCATACAACAGCCACAACTAAGAAAACATGCCATAGCTTATCAGTTGGTGCTCAGCAACACAGAACCAAACAGAAATCAAAATATAAGGGACCTTCTCGGGCAATAGAAGAAAGCCTAAAGCTAAAAGTGTGCGCACACATGCGTGCGTGTGTGTGGGTGTAAAGCAAATTGTAGGTCTCACGACTTGAACCTTGTCTAGTACTACCTACTTGGGATAGCATTTAGCTTGACTGCACGTTTTTGAGCAAAAACACTTTGAGAATTTTAAGAAGACAGTTAGGTGACATGAAACTCAAAGTCTTTACATAAATTGTCGAGAAAATTCCTCCCATTTTACCATTAAGATAGTCCAATAAATTAGAAAGAAGTCAAGTTTTAGAAACAGGAGTCAAGGGTGACAAAGTTGGAAGCAGAAAGCAACAAGAGGTGGGGTGAGGACGAAAGTCCCGGGGCCCAGGGAAGGCACGGAGCAGAGAGGTGGACAGACCAGGGGACACGGCTACAGACACCCACACACCCTGCCCCACAAGAGATCCCCCAGTTGCAGCAGGCTTCCTTAACCACTGAACGGAGCCCAGCTCTTCCTGATAAGAGTCCAGGACCACACGCGAGTCTTATCCACGTGTGTTCTGCCTGCATTTACCGACTGCTGGCTGAAGATACCCCAGAAAAATGGTACAAGAACTCGAGAAGCAAAAACAGGGTAAAAACTCATCTGGAACCCATTTTTTAAAAATGAGGGTTTTATCAAAGTGCCACCCCAATTTGACTAGTGTATTTTTACTTACAGGAATGTTGATGAATATCAAGTCAAATTCTGCTGGTGTCAAAAATCTTTTCAGTGGTGCCATGAAGTACTATCAGGAGAGAAGAAGTAAGAAAGAAGCATAACTTACCCAATCTGTATGTCTCTTCTTCAACAAACAACTGTACTTGAAAGTCAATTGCTCATCAGCATTGTAAGTACCAAAAAAGTAGAAAACATTTTCACTATGATAGAGATTTTATACTTGACCACAGATATAAAGACATAAATAGAAGCTAAAACATTTAAAAGATAAAACAGAAGGCTTATAGAATAACTCCTTCTGAAAATAAGAAAGAGCACCATTGGCCAGGTTGGCAGCCAATGATAACATTTTAGAGACAGAGCCGAGGACTTCTACAAAACTGCTTTGTGCAGAATACAGATACTTGAGCTCAATAACCTGCTCAGATATTTACGCATCCTCTGTCCCCATTCTTTGATGCTCTGGCGTCCCACCATCCCATTTTTGCTCCTGGCCATCTCGTACCTGTAGAGATGATCCTGCCAACCTCCTCCCCTGTCACTTCCCTGTCCCCCAATAATCTTGTGCCTTGCCCAGCTCAACCCCCAAACGGCTTGGTCATGCTCTGGCATGTTACCAATATATGAACATCCTCACAGATGAAACTGCAAACACCCACCCTTTGGACCACCACCTCCTAACGGACAGCACAAGAATCCCCAGCCGGCCCGGGCTGCCCACCCCTGCCCCTGCTACATTCCTCATACTGTCACTTCCCTCCCCACCCGGACTTCATTCCATAAACCATCATTGGAATTGCCTTCCCCTACACACACTTACTCTGAATGAAGGTTTTTTATTCATTTTTTTTTTTCTGTATTTTAGGAAAGGGTATAAAGGGTGTTCGGAGTCTCACAAGTAGATCAGACTCGTAGTGATCCACCTGTTTACAGCCTCCCAAGAGTTGGGATTATAGCCGTGCGCCACCACACAGTCTCAACTGTAGTCTCAGTGCGCCTCGGGGGCAGTGCCAGCACGGCAGGCCCAGGGATTGAACCCCCGCGGAGCCCCTGTGCCTGCTTGCAGGCGCTTTAATCCACTGAGCTATTTGGCTGGACCTCAATGAAGAGTTTTTCTTTAATATTCGTTCTGCCAACTGCAATTATACACCCTTTAACCAGCACCTCCCCATGGCCACCCCAACCCGCGAGGCTCTGGTAGCCGTTACCCTGCTCTCTACCGTTAGGAATTGAACCCTTTAGATCCAAACTATGAAACTGTAATGGAGCCGGTTTTCTGTGCCAGTCTTTAAATGCTAAGCTCTACTGCAAGTTAGAACGCATCTGTGCATGCACGCACACAGGTGCACGCACACACACACAGGTGCACGCACACACACACATACACAGGCACACAATCACAGGTGCACATATATAGGCGCACACACACAGGCTCATGCACACACACACACAGGCACATAAACAGGTGCCCACACACAAGTGAGCATACACACAGGCGCACACACATAGACACACACAGGTGAACACACACAGACACACAAAGGCGTACACACACGCAAACATACTTAGCAGAACAGGGAAGCCCACATGTTAACTACTTAATGAGGTATTGTGGCGTTAATGTGGCGTTAATACCTGAGAACTTACTTTTTCTATCGACTCCAAAGTTTCTGTGTATTTTTCTTCTGTCAGCTTAATCTCTGCTAGGCAGCAACTCCGTATATCATTTTCCTGACACTTCTGCAGTTAGAATGATAAAAATAAAATCATTCAATCAAATTCATATGTAAACCTCTCTGGTACTAGATAGGGAGAAATCAAAATCATTAACGTATTTAACTTTCTATTCTAATAAAAACATACTGAAATTTATATTTAACTATATTTGTGACAGTTTTGCTGTATTTTTTAAAATCTAAACAACATAATCAAAAAAATTTTGATGATTAAAAATAAGCACCTGAGTCCAGACGTTATGTCCAAGTAAAACATCTCTTACCAAAAATGTTACCGCCCTGGAGACACAAATCATGTAGGAATTTCCTTCGTAACACTGCATTTCCCACATGCTACAGAGTTACCGGCAATGACATTAAAAAGACAAGTGACAACCTTCAAAACACTGTTTTCGGGCACTAACACCTAAGTCCTCGGAGTTGGCTGAGCACAGCACCACACTCGAGGACGCTCGGGGAGACACACGCGGTTCCAGTACTGGCCTATTCGGGGCCTTCTGACTGCGGTCAGCTTATTCAGTCTCTCTGACTCAGCTTTCTCCTCCACAAAGCAGCACGACAGAACCAAATCTAAGAAGCTGGGAACAAGACAGAAGCTGTGCCGCGCTTCCACCGCTAGCCAGGAACTCCAGAGAGGCCCATGTATCTAAATCACTGTCACTATTAACCCCATCCCAGACAGCCCGGTGCTGTCAGCTGAGTGAAGGCTGCCCCTGGGGGGGACACTGGAGAATCTGCTGACACCAAAGCAGGTGGCAATTGCAGGAGATGCCGGTGATACTCTGTCACCTGCAATCACTCTGCAGACGCTGCCAGAGGCAGCCTGTCAGCTCACGCGGCGGCTAAATCACATCCATTCCGTTTGCAGGCACAGTTGGGCAGCTTAATTCCACCTCCTATATGCCACTGCTCCCCAGTGTGGGCCAGATAGCTCGCCGGCCCTTTATTAAAGGCCAGAGCAGAGGGGCTGGTGAGATGGCTCAGTGGTCTAAAGCACCTACTTAGTACAAGCTTAGCAAAGCACAGGGACCGCGGTTCAATCCCCCAGCACCACATGCCAGCCAGCCCCGCCCCCTGGTGGGCCGAGCTGGCCACACACACACAATAAATAAATAAATAAATGTTAAAAAAAAAAAGGCCAGAGCAGAGACAGAGCTGAGCCAGCCCGTCAAAGTGCTGAAGAACCTCACTCACCAGCTGACGAGGAAAAGGCTTCAGGATAAAGAACGTGTTGCTAACGATCTAAGTAACTGACTTCTAGGTTTCAAATTACAAATGAAAGGATTGTTCAAAGTGATTCTTTCTGAATGTTCTAGATACAATTCATGGCAGACAGAGCTCTGAGGGCCCGGATGACAGTATCCAAAACTAAGCTTACGAAATAGTAAAAAGGTAAGACATTTATTTATAATGGAACAAAATGAAAAGTAGCTCCTCATGACAACGGCTGATGCGGGGAGACATGCATTTTACCCTACATTAAATTTAAAAGAAAAAAATGTACCTACTTTGTAAAACATTCAATTCTATAACTATGCAATTTCATGATTTTTGAAATTTTCTGTTCTACTGCATTCTGCCAGGGGCATGCTATTTACCTCCCAGACTATCTGTAAAATGAAAGGATGAGACTAGAGATTCCTTAGAGCGGCTGTGATCTGCCAAATGCCAGACTCCAGGTGAAAAAACAAGTCACACGTGCATAGTTAAAAGGACTCAAAGGTAAAACAAACCAAGGAACATACCAGCAGAGGTTACGAAAACAGTGACAGGAACTCGGTCCCCAAGTAACCCACTTCCTACCAGATCCTCAGCGCAACTGAAGTACAATCGAAGCCCTACCGGCTGGTGCGCCTCCTCCGCCTTCATCAGGTCCTCGTAGACCTCGCCGCCCTCGTCCTCCCCATAGACGCAGTCATAGAGGTCCTCTTCATGCTCCGCACGCGTCTCGCTGAAACAAAGCAGACATCGGAGTGTTCACCATCACACGGTAAGCACAGCAGCCCAAAGAGCTTCTTACCTTTTAGCAGAACACAAATGAAACTTTTCTAGTGATTTTAGCAGAAAATTTAAAGAGGAAGCAAACTGGAAGTACAGGAGAGAGGGGACAGGCTTGCATAACAGCCCTGTCCCTCCTAGAAAGATGGCCAGCAAACAACAGACCAGCAATGATACCAGCGGTCACTCGTGTTTACCAGTCACGTTCCTACAAGCACGGAAATGATCACACCGCAGTGTGACATGACTTAGCTCACCCAGTGACAGCAGTCTCACTAGGCATGCCTTTGAGTTGTGAAAGAGATGGAGCAGAGGGACCAAGCGGTTATCTGACTTACCAAAGACAGCACAGCTAGTCAAGGAGAAGCCATGATCTCGTACTCTGAGCACCTAGCTACTCCATCGCTGCCCTGCCTCTCCACTGTCTTGTTTTTCAGCTCCCACGAGCACTCAAACCGTGACTCACGGGGGTCTTCTCAAACCCTCCCGTGAGACTGTGAGGCCATGAACACCCTCAGTCACAGAGGTCCAGCCACTCGTGTTCTACTACCATGCTTATGCTTTTCCTTTCAGCTCAAGACTTGCATAAGTATCCTCCACTAATAATCCCAAATAATTAAGATTATCCAGTGTAGACACGTGGGAGAGAAGCAGTAATATTTCTCGGCAAGAAGTCCAACTCCTTTCACACGGCCTGCCCCGAGTGCCTCTTCTGGGCCTGAGCAGGTGGAACATTAGGAATTGAGACAAAGGCGCCATTAACTAGTCACGCCACTCTGCAACTGGGGGCACTTCAGAGCAGGTACAATCACAGGGTTGTTTATGTTTGTTGTGAAGGATTATTTGAAGGACCTGACAGGAATGAACTGTCAAACACTCAGAGAAAAGCAAAGTGTATTAAGGGACAGAGATTCAGTGGTAACAGAAGTTTCTGGGAACTCTTCTATAAGAAAAATTCATTTCACAGTTACTTGTCCACCCACCTGCCCACCCACCCATCCATCTACTGTCATCTGCGAAGAACTGATAGAGCTCCAGGCTCAGAACAGACAGATCAAGCGCTCTGTTGTATCTCGTACAGAGAGCAGCCCATAAACACAATCCTGTGTATGCAGCAAGCAAAGTGAATGCGAAATATAGGACCAGAGGAAAGAGCAAAACGTAACTCTGACAAAAGAATTCAGAGAGCTGGGTGTGGTGTCACACACCTGCAATCCCAGCACTTGGGAGGCTGAGGCAGGAGGATCATTGTGCATTCAAGACTAGCCTGGGTTACAAAGTGAGCTCAAGGCCAGCCTGGACTGAAGTCACAGAAGGCTTTATAGAAGGCTAATTATATCGAAGCTGGTACCTAAATAGATTTATCCATTTATTCAGTGGTACAAGATACAAAAATACTGGTCTCCAGGGGACATGGTCGCAGACTAAACACACGCTTTCTTCTCTCATGAAATTCAAAGGCAAACAGGACTCGCACACACCCATGGCAAGTGACAAAGAGTACAGCATGATTACGTGGGCACTGACATGCTGGTCACTGTGCCCAGGTGAGTGGAGTAGACAGTCAGAGAGAAGAGTTGACACCAAACTTCTGAGGACCTGATCTTACCCTGGGGATCTGGGAATTGATGGAGGCTTTATATGGTGTAGGACAGAAGAAGAAAATGATGGGCAGGGAGACCAATAAGCCAAGAGGCAAGGTGCTGAGTGACAGGGACTGAGAGCGGAGCCACTGTACAGGCCAATGGAGCAGGGACATGGACAATCACGAGACCACACCAACCACACTGGCTGAGCAGCCAGGATCAGGAGGGGAGGCAGGGTACAAGGTGCACTCTGGGAGTCAGGAGATGAGAGCATTTGGGCGGTTCCACGATTTCCACACAGAAGGGTCCAGAGAAGCACTCTGGCCAGGAAACAATAGATAGTTAAGGTTGTTTAAGCACTATCTGGAATATGTCAGAGGGCAGGAGGGACTTCTCGGGGAGCTAAGATGGTAAAGGAACCAGTTCTACATGGAAGAGGATTGTTCAGAAGGAAAATGGACTATGGTTCCATTCTGTTACTCTTAGCCCCAGGGCTCCTGCCTCTGGCTCCAGACACTGCCTTTCTAAAATATCCAACCTTGCTTAAAAACATCAGGGAGCAGAGCAAGACAGGAGAATCTATAATATTAATAGTTATATGTGACCATTAGTGGAGTTTTCAAAAGAAAAATGTCATCAGAACACTAGAAATAATAAATTCTTCCTAATACTTTAAAGAATATTATAAGACCAATAAACTTACGGTCACTTTATGAAGATCATAGCCAAATTAATGAGACACTCAGCACCTGTCTTATTCTAGTCAATGAATTAGTAGAACTTTTAGGAGAAGATGGAAAATCTCTCTTAAATATCTAAAAGATAAGACTTGGAGATCATTCCAAATGCCACCTACTACTCTCCAAAGAGCTGCTAATTTCCCAAAGTTTGCCTTCTCATAAGGAAACAGACAATAAGTGAAACAAGCCAGACTGTCCCTGGCAGGGGGAAATGCTATGAAAATTCAGAGTGAGGTACAGGGGCAGTGGCAATTTTACACAAAGTAGTGAGGAAGGGGCTCTCTGCAGAGAGACATCTGAGAGAAGAGGCTTCTATGGTGGAGGACCAGTCCTAAGGACCAACGAAACCAAACACAAACGTCCTCAAATAAGCTCACACTCAATATTGAATGGCTAAGGGGCGGAATTTCTCTTAGAGTATGAATCTCCCTATGATCTATGACTCTTTCTTATAATGCTTTGTAAACATATCTGATCTACGTCATCAGTTCCTTGAGGAGTGAGGATCGTGTCTCATATTTATTTGTAATCTGCACAAGTCACTCAATCAGCAGAAATAATCAGCTGCCCAGAAATCCCACCTCTCCTAACTGTTAAACAATAAAGATCTTGAGGAATCTCTGTTCAAAATAAATGCCATCTAATAAATATCTGTGAAAAACTCCAGCTCACGGTTACAGCTCCTTGTCCTTCCTTGAAATGTACAAAGCACACACTGCCTACCCTACAACTCCTGCCATAGGTTCTATTTCCTTTTCATTCTTCTCTGTCTAATTCCTAGTTTATCTCCCATGTTATTGTGCCTCTGAGAACCATCCAGATTTGACTCAACTGCAGTCTGTTTCTTTACCCTTCAAAGAAACACACGATAGGTAACAAAAGTCAGTGACAGGATGCCTTTCGTTGAAGCTTCGTGTCATCACTTTAAGAGTCATTCTTGCATGTCTTAATCATTAAATCGCCTTTACTCTTTAGAGAGGTTATTTTACATCCCCAATTAAGATCCACACTAGATGTCAAAAGTGGAGGAGGCTTAATTTTGCTGAAAATGTTCAACATACTCTATCAAGTCAGGAAGGCCTTTGTAGATGTCTTCATCATTAATGCTTTCTTCTGTTGGGAAGGGCCTAGAAAGAGGAAAAACATGGGTGGGTGAGAAGCAGCCAATCCCATATTTATGTCTCATTAGTTATAGGATCTGATCAAACAAGTATTTTGGTAACAACCATCCTCCCATGATTCAGTTCATCAGTACACATGACAATTAACAGAAGACAAAAACACACCATGCCTCCATGTAATTCTTGACCTCAGTGACACGTTTTTCTACTCAGACGTTAAGGTATTTAAATTACATACTTTATTTTTATTTTTTTAGACAGATCAGTCAACTGGACCTTAGAGAGAACAGAGTACCTATTACATTTTTGTCCCTTATTCAACAAAAAATCCACACTATCTCCTAGTCTCATCATCTGGCTTTTTTTGCCTCATATTATATATTTTTTTCATAACCAATGTAATACTCAAATTTATTCCTAGCAACGTCACATTATACTTTCACATCATATGCTCTACTCTGCTTTGACATCAGGCATAGCATATATTCCATAAATGAAAACCCATTAAAATAATAAGAAATTTAAATAATTTCTATATTGTTGAAAAGGTAGACTCTTACATATTGGCCTACTGATTCATTTAATACTTAGGATATTTAAAGAATACTTTTTCCAAAAATCAACATATATGTGAAATCCATTTTGGTTTGGGTCTTTGAATTCTGAGGGTCTAATATTTCTCAATTCTTTATATGATCTAGAGATAAGTCCTTTGTCTGAGGGACAACTGGCTATAAATTCTTTCCACTCTGTGGGTTGTCTCTTCACTCCGCTGGTGATTTCCTTTATTGTGTGAAAGCATTTTAATAAGGTAAGATCCCACTTGCTGATTCTCTGTAGTATCTCCCATGGAGTCTGGGTTTTGTTCATGAAGTCTCTGCTTACATCTTTGTCTTTGAGATTTCTGCGTATTTTCTCTTTCAGTAAATTTAGCATTTCTATTTTAGTATTTAGATCTTTGATCCACTATGGCTTTAGTTTAGTGCATGGTGATAGACAAGGGTCTAGTTTTAGTCTTTGGCATGTG